GGGCACCATAGTACCGCCCTTTGTGCAAGCTCTTTGTTGTCTTCACCAACTTTCTGAAACCAATAGTCCGTTAGAACCCTATCGGAATAACGTATCCAATTCATTATCCTATTAGAGTTTCTGACTACGTTTCAGGGGGCTAAGTGTAATTATCGATACCATAGGGACCTTACAGTTATTTAAGCTTACCTCAGGGGGGTGTGTGTAATTTACCCTAATATTATTGTCTATTATTGTAATATTACTAAACACAATAATATTGTTGTGGTTGACGGTAATATTACTCTAATATTACTGTCACTCACAATAATATTAATTTTTTTGGCTTTTTATTAGGTTTACCTTTGTTGAGCGGTTAACATATTAATATTACTATATTACACAATAATAATGAGTTTTGTTGTGTTAATATTACTGTGTTAGAGATTAAAATAACAATATTACTGTGTTAAACTGTAGTATAGTTAATTTTACTGTTTTAACAGTAATATAGTTAATATTATTATCAATCACAGCAATATTGTTATTTTAACGGGGCGCAAAAAGATGTTAAAGAAAAGAGAAAAAAAAATGTCTACGCCGGAGACCGGCGGTGATAGACGAAATTATCCATAAATATGTGTTTTGGGTCAAAATTGAATAATTTGTGAAATTTGGGGTCAAATTGAGGTTATATTAAATTAAATAATGAAATAGGAACATATTAAAGTATAATGAGCTATTTTAGTATTTTACAAACATATGGACCATGGGTGGACTGTTTTGTAAAATAGTTGTGAATAAGTACCGGTTGGGTTTATTTGTAAAGTGCCCAAATAAATATATTGCATGTGGGGCTGGGCCATAAAGAGAGATGAAAGAGTGGTTACATAATAAATCCCTCTCCGCTCAAAAAACTCAGTAAAAGTAAACCCTAAGAAGAACCAAGTACGGTTGCAAAAAAAACAGACATGGCAATAGTATCAGAGAAAACACCATCGGCAAATATTCCGCCGGAGATCATCGAAATAATACTGTCAAAATTATCATCTGTTAAATCTCTTCTTCGATTCAAAGCAGTTTCAAAGTCATGGAATACTTTAATCTCCAATCCTTTATTCATTCAAAATCATCTCCGATCCTCGGATAACTCTCCGGATAATCTCTTTCTCAGTACGGATACATATGGTACTGATAGAGGGTTTACTTTGGTTAAATTCGAAGTTGGAAATATCCACTCTGGAGAAATATCTGTCGAGAGTATTCCCAATGGCTACGACAGAATATTATGCGAATGTAACGGCGTGCTACTCTTGACCAGCATCTACGGCGAGTGCGAATACGATACATGCGCACTGTGGAATCCATCAACTCGCTCTCAGATGTTTCTCATAAACCGATGTGAGTTTAATGAAGATCATGACGTTGATTTTGATTGTGGGATTTGTTATGAACAAATAACGGATGATGTACTGGATTGTGGGGTTTGTTATGACCAAATAACGGGCGATTTCAAGGTTGTCTTTGTTTACGCAACGAAATATGAAATTTATTCGTGTAATAACAATTCTTGGACCGAAAAGTATTTAGGAACAAAATTCTATACCATCCTTGGTACTCCAGGTGCGGCTATATTCGTTGACGGAGCTACCTACTGGATTTTGGGCGTCGAGAGCAGGAATATTTCAGGTACGCAATTAGTGTATTTCGATCCAAGAACCGATGAGCTCAAGATTTTGAAAAAGCCCGAACAATTAAATGATGACAAATTTCATTTAATTAACAAGGCTTCTTTGGGAGGAAGACTATGTTTGTACCACTATAACTACAATGAGAACAGTATCCAAATCTGGATAAAGGAAAAGGGCATTGATACAAACTGGAAAGAGTTTCTAACCGTTGGAAAATTATGTCCGTATTTGTGGATTACGCCAATATGTTTCGTGGGAAATAAGGTTGTCATTCAAGTAGACCGTAAGAAATTTGTCTACTATAGCCCTACTGAGCAGACGTTTGAAGAGTTTGTAGATATTGACGTAAAGTGCAATGGATTCATTCCATATCGGAATAGTCTCTATTTCCCAACTGCTGTCAAGACGACGACAATTAAAGGTCAGCAGTCTAGGTTTATGTTACCTGAGCATAAGTATTTATGCATGTAGACAATATATTATGTCTGGTTCTTTTTTTTTTTCTTCTTCTTCTTCTTTTTTTTTTCGTCTTTTTTGTGTGTGTGTGTGCGCGCGTTACTAGGAGTCGATCTTACATAGGTATCGAACCTCAACGCAGTCGAGTTCTCTATTTTAATTATATTTGATAATGTTTTCATCTTGTTTCTATTTCAAATATTATTCATTGCTAGTTTTTATAAAATATTTTTTCATTAAATAAACATTTATCGTTGATCATATAAAATTTGTGCATATACAAACACTATAACAAATAATTGTCTGGTTTTTGTTTCATTGGTGATAAAACTAAGGCAGATTTGTTTCACATATAATTTGTCCGGTTCTTCGATCACCAAAAATGCAGAGGAATATTTTAATCTTACTCGGTGCCTTTAATGACCACAACCATCTCCAACCTCCGTTATTTAGAACATTCGTGCTATTGCCCGTTTCGCCCTCCATTTCTCTCTTAATAGTCACCGGGTGGTAAGCACTACGGATGAAAAAAAGAATATTGTTACGAGTGTAATGCAAATTATATTGGTCCTCTTGCATTACAAAATAAGTTCTCTCGGATTAAGTCGGCTTTCCAAAGACGTGTATTTTCTTCAATTATTCCCAAAGACGTGTATTTCCTTCGGATGCTGAAAAAGAGAAGGGAAAAATACAGTTTTCATCCTTCTAGTTTGCACCTATTACACATTCGGTCCTCCATGTTTAAAAAAAAACACATTTGGTCCCTCATGTTTCAAAAACTCAACGCTTTTAGTCATTTCCATCAGTTTACCGTTAAAACTAACGGAATATAATCAACCGTGTGCCCATCACTGCCTTAACTGACGGACTAATGTTAAGTTGACGAAAATGACCAAAAATCAAGGTTGACGAAGAACATTAAGCTACGTAAAAAAATTGATGCAGGCCAGTTACCAAGATATGGGTGAAGATATTTGTTCCATTTTACGTAGAAGAGAAACCACTACATGTCTACATCGAAATACCTGTACAACTTGTGGAATATCTTCATCGGAAATTCTTGACGCAACATTGGTGGTGATTGCCGATATCCTTGAATATATGTTAACCACGCTAATTAATTATCTGTTAAATCACCCCATATAGATTTGTTCCAGTTTTAAAAGTAACATGTTTAAATTATGACAAATTTCGACCCGTGGAGGTTGGGTCCTACTATAAGCCCGCCATGGACCCGTCTATGTAGCGCATCGTCTTGCGAACAGGGCTTACACTCACAAATCTTACCAAGATTTTTTTACCGGATCGAGTTTGCCTAATGAGGCACGTGGAGATTATATTTCTGATTAATTTAGGCATCTCAAATTTTCGTCCATGAAGATTTTGCATGAGAATGGATGGCTTTGTTTGGATCCAGTACATTCATCAATACTGGGACTTTTTTGCATTTATGCACTATTCCAGGGGATTTCGCTGACCTGGCCACAACTTTAGAGTATTTGCAGTTTGACCCCCCATTATGAGCATCTTCAACAATTTTCAACTTTTCAGGCTTGCACTTTGGAGGACAACACCAAGATCGTTTATTTGCAGTTTGACCTTCTAGGGGGCTAAACAATTTTTTTTCTCTTTCTTTTTACCCCTCTTTGGGGCATTTGTGTAATAACCTAGATAGGTCTCGTTATGATTAATTTTGAAAATCGTTGTAGGGTACTCTTTTTACTTGTGTAGGCCCACATGGTTTTAATGAGCCCCCAAAACTCTTATCAATAAATGAATAATAAAATCTTTTGGACAAAAAAATAGTGAAAAGATGTTTTTATGGATAAGTATCTGACGAACCATCTTTATTATTTTATATTTAGGGGCTATATCTCTATCGTTTTCGCCAATAAGCCAATTCCTTTAATATGTATTATCTATAAAGACAAAATTAATGTATATGATAAAATTACCCCCAACCCTTTAAACTTAAAAGGTAATATGCTCGAGGTCCCTTGTTGGAACATAATTAGATGTGGAATACAACCTTAACTAAATCCTTTTTAGAAAAATAAATATGAGTCACATCCTCAAATTTTCTTTTATCCCCAATTTACCCTTAACTTAAATCCATAAATTCTAAAATCATGTTTCTCTCAGATTTTTTCTTCTTTTTTCTTCTTTTTTTTTTCTTCTCTCTCTCTCTCTCTCTCTCTCCCTCTCTCTCCCTCTCCCTCTCCCTCCTCTTCCCCCTCTCTCCCTCCCTCTCGCTCTCGGGCTCTGGGAGGAAGAAGGGGCAAGGGTGATTTTGTATTTTTATTTTTTTTTTTTCTAATGGACAGGGAGGTAAGGCAGAAACAAGAGAGCGCGAGGAGA